CCCTGCTTTTCTTTACCTCATTGAGGCTCAACAGAACCCAGTTCTCCCCAGAAGGGCGCCACGCCTACTGGGTGTTGTCGTTTCCTCGCGTCAGATAAGATTGGATAGAAGCGGAACTTCTGTTCGATAAACCTTGACGCGCCTTGCACGAGACAGCCAGTCCGAAGGTGACGGGTGTCTCCACAGATAAAATTCCGTCGGGTGTCCAAACGTTGCTCAACAGCTCAAAGCTCTCCCTCCTCCTTTTCTGGATAGCTGAGATCAGTTGGCTCAGGCCCGCTCCACGTGTTCTGAGGGTGTGCATATCAACCAACTTGAAGATGAATTTGGCATTCAATGCCACGTTCACCGCTTCCTCAAAAGAAATCAGATGCACACGAAAGACTTCCATTCTGGCCGCGTCAGTACGGAGGCCTTCCATAAAGACGGTCACTGCGACCGCCTTGGGAAGAGGATCGGCTGCCATCCCGGCAATGAGGGCTCTTAACACCTAGAATAAGTCCACTAACTCCTTCTTTCCCTGACGAGCAGCAAGGAAACGCGATCGCACGCGATTTGCCTGTTTCGGCGGCGAGAACACTCGCAAAAGCTGACGCTTCAGCTCCTATCAGGAGGGGGACGCAGCTCAACTGAAGCACCACACGTTAGTGTTCATTCTCGCGCTCGACCACCGAGCTTGGAGATAGCTAGCACCACGAGCTGTTGTTCGATTTGGAGCATGGCGATTGCCATAGCCATCTCAGTCTCTCTCACACAGAGCAGTAGATTCTCTTCATCCTTACCCTTGATGGTCTTAACGCTCACCATGAGCGGCCTGGGTCCGAATGAATCATCCATTGTTGACGGTGGCATCATGGACAAAGTCGACGCTGACAGCTTCTGCTGTAAGCGCTCTAAAAGAGCATTTATATAATTTAAAACTCCTTTAGGCGCGCGCTTATCGCCTCAGGACCTTGCAAAACAAGGTTTTCTAGGCCCCAAGGGCCAAGCAGGGACATCAGCTTATAAAGCCCGTCCTGCATGCCCTGGGGCAAATAGGAGTATTCCTCATCATCACGGAGGATCATTCGTAACGACTCAGGCGTAGATTGACTACGAGTGCTACCAAGTGCAGCGGGGCTGCTGTAGCTCTTTGCTTAGAGGAAGCTATGCTAAGGTCATCGAGCTTACATTCTTTACAAGTAACAGTTCGAGTGCAGCGGATCACATTCCGCAGCCTCCAAGAGTACTGAAAGCCGCTACCAAGGTAATATAGTCTTCAGTTCAAAGGTCGGGACTGTATTTAATTGTTTTAGCTGCGGCAGAGCCGCCCATGTCTTAAACCCTGGGTTTTCCTAATAAAAATTGTAATACATAATTAACCTATTTAATATAGTAATATGTATGACTACTGGCAATCCTGCCACCTGGTGGCTTCTTGTTACGATGTATTCACGCCTTTGTACGCTCACACCAACTTGTGTGGCCTGCCCTTACATAAAGGATACGCGTAACCCCGTTACGAACTCCCTCCTTTGTATCGGTATTTGCCATAGCTACCATCCTGTAGTACTTCTGAGCTTTGGTTTTGAAAAACATTATTGTTATGTGAGCACACACCACAATACGGTGCTACTCCAATACGCCCCAACCAACCTCGGCACCGGCTGGGGTCGCACTCATTTCGTCTCTTACGACGTTGATCAATGTGACTGTACTATTGGTGATAAACGCTGGTGAGAGTGCCGAATGTTTTGGTATTCAATTCGCCAATTGGACGAAGACGACCCGTCGCTTCACCTGACTTACAACTTTTCGATCTGCTTTGGATAAATTATGAATCAGACTGGATCTCGTTTAATGCTTGACTTTGTAAAATTCACCACGGCGAGGCGAATGCTATCCACCTCAATCTTTTGCTTTAAACAGACGGTAATCGTTATGAGATTGCTGGCTCATATATTGGCAAAATTGTGGATTAAAACAAGGTTACACCCTCAGTAGCGCATTGCGCAGGGTCCCTGTCTTTTCTCTAGGATAGAAATATAATGAAGAATTCACCATCACATCAATCTGGCCTATACCTCAAAGGTATATTGTGCAAAGCAGATTAGCCATCTTAGCTTTCTCTGTGACGGTGATTACGCTGCAGAACGTAATGATACATGACCCGTGTAGATTGCAAATGGCTTAGGGTCAAAAATGTGAAACCAAGATTTGACAATGACATACTTCTTGGCAAGTGGCTTCGTGTTGTGATCAGAATTTAATTTTCTTTGCCGCTCAAACCTACTAAGTCTTAAACGCGATTTTGCGATCACATAAGCTTTGCTGTAGGCTGAAGTATTTCAGACGGCATGATTTGACCTATCTAGATATAATAACGCCAGAATTAAGGAACACACTGAAGCTTTTTTACAGATACGAAAGCCGCACTTTCTGTCGCATTTAAGCACCATTAGACAGTCCCGCCATGTGGCACGCTTGGGTTCTTGTGCAAGAATTTGGCTCGTAGGCCATGCCTTTCAGTTCTTTTCGGGAAAGTTATATGCTATGGTCTTTGTTCTGCGGGATCTTATCCACAGGCCTTGCTTTCCGATCCAGCAAATCAACGTGGGGTCTTGTCGGTGTCAGAAGGAATACATTTGTCTATATTAACGAATAGTTTTTTATGGGGGATAAACCCGAACACTGCTGAAATGTGTTAAATGTGATTATCCAGCTTCAACTTCAAGCAGCTTGCAAGACCCTGTGTGAATACCGTCAACTTGTTTTATGCTTAGCTCGGATATGTCCTGAAAAGCATCGTCACCGAACAATTGAGCGTCGCTGGCACGATAATTAGTCCGTGTCAAATAACCAGCCACTCCGAGAATGTCCCGCTCAGAGGACTCACCATAGTGAGAGAAACATAGATTCTTTAAATGCAGATTATGATATCCATCAACCAGGGCAGGGATTAAGCATGGTGCAGCCTTCAGCGCATTGGCTCCAAAAATCAGTGTTCGAGCCAGAATTGTGGCTGGATTAAACTTACCAATTTGTGCACAATTTGCCACTTATCGTTTCATTTGAGACGGAAATAGAAAGTCAGCATCGAGTAAATGATTCGCCCCCCCCTCAACATATGAGATTGGTGTCTCGTACGAAAGAATATGTGGAGTGGATGACGTCATATTGTTCTCTTGGTGAAGGTCATTGCCGTGCGACGCATTATTTAGTTTCGAGAAACAAGCTAAGAGTATGACTCAGTGACACACACCGATTCGGAGGCAACACACTTTGTGAGTTATTTGTGACCATATCATGATACCATGATATGGTCACAAATATCTTCAGCAAGGAAAAACTGTAGCTGTATGATTCTTGAGAATAGTTGCCCCGCACTTGTGCTCTGTGATGTTATCAATGACAAACCCATCTATGATAGGTGAGACTCTTAGCTCTTGCTTGGTACCACTCTATCCTTCAATTTCATCGTCTTACATTATCATGCACATATCCCGTCGATATAAGCTCCACAGGTCAGCATGAATCTCTGCCGGTTGTGATGAGAGGAAAAATGCAACCTTTGGACAACCCCGTCACTCTATTTTCAAGTAACAATCTTCACGTCGGTAGCCCATTAATTCTTACCGCCCCTGACGATGAGTGCGACTAGCAGTGGTGCTGATCCGCCAGCACTGTTACGTTGTGCCGAGAGGAAATCAGATTTAAATAGAACGCAGATCTTCTGCTAACCGCATTCAAATATGGTACCTAATACCGCGATTTCTAGCCGATTCTATCCCCCCGCCAGATTTGACACAGGAGACGCCAGCTTACAGCTTTGATTAGCCGTCCTGTCATAACAAACGGTTGGAAGGTCAGGACATTCAGTCATTCTTTTTTATTTTGACAATGATACATTTTATCCTGTGGCCATCGCACGCTGACGCTTCCGCCGTCGACGATCTGCCTCGTGCACCAAGACTATGTCTTCGCTAGTTTGCTCAGACATTCTGTATCATATACAAACGCTAATTCAGCTTTGTCCTTGGGCTAGAATTCATCAATTTACTGACTAAAATCGTTCAATTATCTACTAAAGCTCCGTCAAAAGAAAAATTAGTGGCATGTAATTTTTTACAATCTGTCAATCCATGGTTCTGAGTGTTCCAGCCACGCCATACCTATGATAATTTCATGTATCGAATCCTGGTCCAGAACGAGGCAATGCTTCACGCTGCCACAGTATTCAAACTTTAGTGATAAGCTAGGATTGACCTCTAGCACTTTCAGGTATATCCTCTTTGCAAAGCACACTCACATTGTTTCTGTATTCGACATATTAAATTCCTCTGCGTCCAGTCTACGGCTTTGAGAATTATGCATCGTACATAATTACACGACGCTACTGGGTCATTCCAAGCACTTGAGTTTATGTACGTTGATGTTAATATCCAACAAATCTGGTGTGCTCTTCAGCTCTTTTAGAAAGTGACTCCTATCAAAGTTGGGTGCTATTGATAACGATCGTCAAAAGGTATAATAAAATCCCATATTTTCCAGTACACCACCCTCTGTCAACAGAAACTCGTCAATTTCAAACACAAGGTCCGTCGGACGACCTTTTCTACGAGCCCGACCCATTGTACCTCTTAGCTGATAGCAAAGAGGGTACGCACGGCAAACTTGTTGAGCTTCTCTTTGATGATGGTAGCTATTACCGCTTTCACGAAAGTGTCCGATGCTGCAAAAGCTCTCAAGGCTGGACAGAATTTGCTACGTCTCGCCTCTGTTGTAGGTGGGACAAAACATCGAACGCATTCAATACGTCTCTAGAAAGGCGATTTGAACACTCGCGACATTGTCGCATCAGATCAAGCTATGTTGAGAGTGCCATTTCCACCAGTGTATTGGTCTTTCATCTCTATTGTTGCGTGCGCCGTCCTAGTTCGGTGACTTCAAGCGCGTCGCACAATATCTCTATTTAATGTATAGCCGTATCCATGGCCATCTCATCTTCCCTCGTCAACAAAAAGACTATATTTCGTTCCGGATCTCAAAACCGGACACTCGGCACTGGTGGTCTCACGGTGGGTGCATTTTGCTATTTCACACGCATCGGCTAATATGCTCCTTGGGTCTCTCATCACAATACTATCATAGCTGGTGTGCTCCTTCAAACGAGCGATCACCACAACAGACGTTTTGGCCGCCACATCCAGGGTTCTATCAATAACAACAACAGACATGAGCTCATCAAGGTGATCTTGCTACACTGAATAGAAATTCTAAGCGAGCTACTATGCAGTGTGCATAGAAGAAGCTATAACTCAAAGAATCCACGTTTACAAACCCACACAATTTTGCTTGTCCGCTTTCATCCGAAGCAAAACATAAAGCTTCGAAGTTACTAAGTCAATAGTAAGCTCGGCTACGTCGAGAGTGGCGTGTCTAAAGAGTAATTATCTCTGGGCAATAACATAATATATATGCTCAACGATATCTCAAAATAAAACGCGAGGATCTCATTGAGTCGCTGCAAGAGGTGATCTCTTTCGACTTAGGTCGCTCGTGGTGAAACTTGACGTGCGACTAGCCGAACACGTGTAGATCTGACATTTTAGCAAATAGACAGTACTTCTTTGGATACTTCAATGGTGTCATTGCATATGGTGAGCGCTTAACCCTTGATGTGTTTCACGCGTGCGAAAATCAGTAGTTACCCTTCTGTATACATTGGATACCGATACATAGCGCTCAGTGATCCGTATGCAAAAGTCGTATACCCAAAACATTTGTCTTTCACAGTTATCTGTTCATAATTTTTCTTCATCAAAGGACCACACGCACCATGTGTCGACGGAGACCGTGCTGTAGTATAGCAAACCCCAAGACAAGGAATAGCGGTGAAATGCACTTTTCAACGCTTTAAATAATGCAATTCATTCGAAGGATAATAAGCGAAAGAACGACTGTGTCTAATTCGTGCCACGTATGTTGCATATTTGATGCGCATCATCACCGCTGTGACATTAGCATGGATGATGCGAGAGAGCATCCGCCATCACGATAAAGTGTTCAGGCTTTTATTTTACCTCAAAGTTATACATCATTTTACCATTCTCTGCGCGATATGGGGTGGTGATGTCGCTGTGTGCGGCGTTACACGACCTGTACAGACCAGAAAATGCGTTGAGCTACGAACAACTAACCTAAATTTAATTAATAATTTGTTTTATAGCATGCAGCTTCTTGCCACGAGCTAGATAGTTATTCACTGCTGCTTTAAGCTGATGTACGTAAATGCATTTGTAACTTCATGTCTATTGAAGTCTTTTTGGAGAAAATCGCATCATATTGCAAAGGCCGACGCGTCACAGGCGACGGAAAGAGTCGAATCAAATTCAGATCGGCCAAACTTGGGCGCAGATGAGGCTTTCTTCACATTTTGTACGCCATCTTCGTTGTCGCACCTTATAACCATTTGACATCCTTAATGGGAATGTAGATGAGGGCCGTGTCATGTCGGCGTAATTTGTACTGTGTTTGTGCAAGTAGCTGGCTAGGCATATGCACGTTGCGGTCTACATATTTTGCTAGACAGTTGACAACCGCAGGTGCTTTAGACAGTCTTTGAGTTACAACTAGGATATCCTAGAACATCCCGCGCAGTGGACTTGCTGCAGTACGAGAAATATCACTGGAGCTTATGAGCTGCTGACTGTTGACAATGTTAAAAGTACTAAACAAGATACAACTCGGTTACTTGGCTCTAGATCTAGACTCGTTTTACAGCCACGATTGCCATACAGGCGTGAGAAAGGCTAATACTATTTAGCAGCACGTTCCTTCCGGGGATAGTGTTGTTGCCGGATCGGTGGCTGCAAAATAATCTTGAAAGCATTCACAACTTGCCAAATACCGCAAGTTTTTTAAAACAGAAAATGTGCGCCAAACGGGAGATTTTCTCGCTAATATCACCTTTGTTTTTTGCACGAATGAATGGTATATATGACGTCACAATATCCTCTTGGTAAGAATTATTGGCGCGTGACGCTAAAATTGATTTCAAGAGCTGGTTAAACACTCCCTGATCCGAGGGCAATATACGTTTTGGATCTCTCGCTACTATGCAGTGAGGCTTTATCAAACGAGAAAATACAATTATAGGATCCTTCAGTGTAGCTTTCCCACAAAGTTCACTCGGGGCTCTGCGAGAGTAGGCACATCCAGGATTTATGATTAATACAGCTCCTCCCCCGGTACTCACCATACCAGTATGAAGACTTCACCGTCCTGCGACAGCTTGCACGCATCCAAAAATTAGCTATCCAAGATCAGTAAGTTCCCTAGATGAGGAGGTCACACTGACATCAGAAAAAACTTATCAGTCACTCCATTAACGATTGAACGATTCTTCACGCAAAAAAACATTGGAGCCTCAAAGCTCCGTTTGGAGGGCGCGTCATGGAGCAGTGTTGACTCTACCGAGCCGTTTCGTTGAAAGAAGAATCGAACGCATGCTGTAATAAAGGACCTCGTTTTTCTATTTCCAGCTAGCGGCTATGCAATTGAATTCTCACATCCAATTCATACCGTTTGAGACATGGAAGCTCCCAAAAACCGTAGAATCTCAATGGACCAATTTGGTTCTGAACCGAAAGTCTTGTCGAAAGGGGATATGAATAATTTACCACGATTCAAGATAATGGCTTGAGTTTAAATTGCGACAATGCTGTTTAAGCGGCATCACTCCATCGGCACATTCTACGCAAGCAAGGCGCATTCGTGCATAACTACAAACTCCACCGGCTCTTGATCAGGAGACCACAAAACGCTGTCACTCTTATGCATCTCACCAAAGCAGATCTCTAAGCTCCAGCTTACCGCTGTAATATAATATTATTCCAGTGCGACATTCCAGCTCGATTTCCAGTCTCAATGGCTATACACTCAGAAGACCGCGGTAGATGGCTGCTTCTTCTCGTTTTAATCTGAATCAGCGGTTCACTGCCGCTTCTTTACTGCTCAACGCACTAAGCTATGTTTTTGTGGTCAATCTGAATGATCTCGTGTCCTACACCGAATTATCGCGGCTTCAACCCGCGTTTAACGCTCTTTGGTATTTTAGCATAGGTGTTTTTGAGATCACCATAGCTTCACGGAGATTAAAAGGGTGACGCCTAGCATTTAGCCTTCTTCCAGGCAGTTTTTGGCTAATGAATGCCAAGCCATGCATTATTTAAATCAGCTCGTATATCAAATTTCGGTGTAATATCGAAACGTTTCACGTCAAGTCAGTTTATTCTGATGGATAAACCATCAATACCTTCGATTGTTCGACTAATATCTTTGACCCAGGACGCATAGTGTCTGACATCTCAAACATCTCCGTATACAATTAACTGATTACGATGGTCGCGCACCCTACATAATAGCACGAGCCCCCTAATCAATCAAGAAATCTGCCGCCTCTCAACGCCGGGGTGCTGATCCATCAGTCATCAATCCTGTACTATGTATAAATGCGATTCCCTCTATTTTTACTTCGACCTCCATGATATCCAATAAAAACAATTTAGTTCGGTCGTCCGTAGGATAAACGCTTTCCAACGAAGTGTTTGTTGGTAAATTTAAATCAAACTAGCCTTCGCCCGCGTTCGCCGAGCGAGAAGAGATACTTAGGGTCAGATACTTGATATAGCTACAGATGCAACTCTTGCGAATACTGTAGAATCTAAGGGACCACTCTCTTCCACCCCGGCTGGCTGAAGCTCACCGCATCTGGTGTGCTTATCAAGACACTCACTCGCGCTTTTGGCCAGCCCCCGTGTATCACTGCTTCTTTGTTAGTATGTAAAGTGAATGCGGACCCATCGGTGTGAACCATGCCTGTGTAGAATATCGTAATCACTTACCGTATTCGAAAGAGTGCATGCCGTCATCCCCGCTGTTAAAGCTTACAACTTTGGTATGTACCGCTATTTTTGTCTTCTTTGACCAATGAACAAATATTTTGACCGCCCTGATGGGGCACTTGCGATATTTGTCCCTTAACCATTTTGAATGCTGAAACACCACTTCAACAGCGAAATGCACGTAAGTGCCCTTTGTCGCGCACTGCTTCATATTTTGGAGACCGCTAGCGCGACGTGTTGCTTCGTGGGGTGAAAATATACCTTTATGGCCATCTCAGACTCGCTCCCCCACAATGAGATGTTATCAACGTCTCTGCTCGACGCGTAACAAAGAATCTTCCTGTGGAAATCGACTGTGTCCCCGCAGTCACCTGGTTGAAGCATTTTGGAGGTGTATAATCAGCACATTCCCATAGTAAATAGTGGCTTTCAGATCCGCGCGCTGCCTCGTCTAGCCGACCGAAAATTCACGATAGATATTGCAAACTAAACGCGCAGTTGGTACCGCGCAAGGATTGAAGAAGGTATCCACTGGTGGCTTGCAGGTCCGATCATATCTTTCAGTGGCCTTTAATGTTATGAAAAACCTGATTGCTTCCCACAAACAACCGATGCAGCGCTTCTGGCAGCGCAACGGCAAAATATTGCTACCCCGCTTCTATCTCGTAGTTCATTCACCTCATCATTCTTCCTAGTTTTAGTGCTCAAACCATGTTGTTAGTCTAAGACCATTTCAAGTACAACTACCCTTCCGGCAATCGCCTGACCTCTCTTCTTGGCGAAAGCAGGACGCCCTTTCAGACAAATTCGCCATCGCCCTTTCAGACAAATTTGCCATCGCTCATAACTGACATGAATGTCGCGTCTGTGATAGATATGCATGTCGCCCCTACAGATATGATGGGAAACGACACCCCTTTTTAGGAGTCGTGTAAGCCATGTCAAGCACGT